GCGGGCGGGCGAGGGGTGGAGGCCGCGCTGTTGGGAGGGAGGAGAGCAGGACCGGGGAGCCCTGTCCGCAGCCTTCAGTGCGGGTTCCTTCCCAGGCGAGCTCGGCCTTCCTGACACCCATCAAGCAGAACGGCGAGGGCCCCCGGGATCCGAGGGCCCCGCGGGGACGCCACACAGTGCGAGGGATCCCCAGGAGGCGAGTGGCTTTCACTTATGGGCGAAGCAGACAGCGTTCGACCGGGAAGGCGCACAGGGTACGTAACAGAACCCATGTGCCCCAGAGAAGGGTGTAATACCTTTTTCTGGAGATGAATATAATTTTCTTAAAAAAGGGGTCACATTTTTAAACAAAAGGGTACAATAAACATACCGCTGGAGACAAAGTCGGAAAGATAAAATAAACTCTGGGTATTTCTCAGGGAGAAAAGAATTTCTACCCACTGGAAGCTGTTTCTCTCTCTGTAACCCAGGAATTGCCGACAGTCAGCTAGTTTGGGGACGCGGTCATGTGCACAGAAGGCGGAGGGGGGAAACGCCGCCCCTCAAACGCCAGGCTCTTCCCAGCAGAGCTGGAGGAAACCTGCTGAGGCATAAAGTTCCTCTGCAGAGTGACAGCACTTTTAACTTTTCCCCTGGACGGCTGCTGGACGTTAACTCCAGCCCCGAGCCCCAGCCTGCCTGCGCCTCCGCGCCTCGGCCCGGGTCCCGAAAGGCCCCTGCGGCCCGGCCGTGGGAGCGCGCCCGTCGTGGGCCGAGCAGGGCCCGCCGCACTCACTCATTTCTTTCCAGGTGGACGGTCAGCTCCTGGCCCCCCAGTTGCATCCGAAACATCAGCTCTTCCGGGTGAATCTGAAAGACAAACGAGAAAAGCCAGTCGGTGATCATCGCGCTTTCACTCGCCACGACTGGAATCTGCTCCGCGGGCGGATTCCAAGGACAAAGAGGAAACTCATGTTCTCTGGGGACGTTGCGGGGACCCAGCGGAGGAGACCAGGCACCGGGATGAGCCTGGAAAACGGGCCACCCTGCTGAGCCCTGACGACCTGTGGCCCTGCCCGGGCCTCCTTCCCTTGGGCCACGTGCCCTGAGGGCCCTGGGCAGGTCCCTCTGCTCAGAGGCCGCCACCCTCGAGAGCGGGACAACCGTGGGTCTGGTGGCTTCTCCTCAGTTTCTAACATCCCGCACGCGATGGTTCCCGCCAACTCCAGCGGTCAAGACACTTGCTTACAACGCAGAGTTTCAGCCACACGGATTGAACTGACCACACGCTACTATGTTTTAAGAGAAACTGGAAAACAAAGAGATTGTAGATTCCAATATCTTCCAACGATAAAATAATTAGCTGAAATGAAACAAAATTTAAACAAAAACCACAACTGAAGGCCACTGGAGTCCTGAGAAAACGTTCACACAGGCGTTAACTACGCCGGGGGACTGGGGCGGAATCGCAAGGGGCGGAACGCCGCTCGTTTTATTTGGGGGGCAGCCCTTTGACATCTTTATGTAGCTTCCTGTGTTTAATGTGGCACCATTAGCCACATGCGGCCATTTAAACTTAAATTAATTAAAATCAGGTAAAATTTTAAAATTGGTTCAGCATCCACACCAGACACATTTCAAGACTCAACAGCAGCGACCGGTGGCTACACCGCGGACAGAGATGGTCCCACCTTCCCAGGAAGCTCGCCGGGATTCCCACCTTCATCCGGCACCTCAGTCAGGCCCGAGGCCTGCGCCGCCCAACTGCCGCCTGAGGAACAGGCTGTCAGATATCGGTGCCCAAAGCATTTGTGCCTTTTTTATTGCTTTAAGAAGGCACTTCTCAATTTTAATTGATGGGTGATGTTATTTTTTAAGCAATTCCTTAAGCTTGAGAGTTAAACTGGTGAATTCCTACGCACATGCCATGCTTATATATATATTTTCTTGGTTTAAACAGACCTTGTTTTTTACAAATTCATTCTGGCAAATGGCTAAACCTTTAGCGATCTGGCGAAAACCACAGTTCTAAATTGATATTCAGGGTGTCCCCCAAAATGCATACACACTGTAACAGCCGATAGCTCAATGTTGCAAATGAAATGCATTCTAATAAACACTATAAACACTGCCTTTATAATTATTCAAAGGGTGTGTATATATTTTTTGGGACACCCTATATTTTGATGTTTTCTGGTGCTCATAGAAATCGTGTGGATTTCTGAGTGTTTATTGAAGTTTAAAAATTCCTATTCCTACCCCATGCAACGTTGAACACATCGCCTGTGTGGGTGTTAACAGTGTGCAAGAGTGTCTCTAAGGCGCGTTTGCTTTGGGGTCTGTCACGGGGACTTCCACCTAAATTGGCTTGTACCTTCTGACACTTGGATTTCATTACAAACACAAAGAATGTTCTCTCCAGGGCTTGCAATTTATACTCATTAATTATATCTTAGAAAAACAAGATATTAACTATGTTTGTAATGAAACATATTAGGACAAAATATTAGGACAAAAATACATGTCATTATTCTGTCAAGATGCACCCAGCATATGTGTGTGTGTATATGCACATTTGTATTTTGCATATGTCTGTGTAAATGATTTAATTATAAATCATGTTTGTCTAAGATAGGGACACACATCACTATTTTAAAGAGAAATCCTGACAATCGTGTTTGTGAATAAAAGTAAGATTTTGCAGTACCCGTTCATTCCCCCAAAGAAGTGAGCCAGTTTAAACATGAGCATTTGCACTAATTCCACGGAAAGCCCCTGCAGGAGCTGTTCGACATTCCAATGTCAACATTTTCAAAGGAATGCTTTTCCCCAGAGAGGCAAAGGATCTTGATCTGTACATTTTAGTTGAGATCTGCATGGCACTGGAGGGATCGATGAAGGAGAACAGACAGCTGTTTTAATTCAAAGGCACTGATTTTCGATTTCTTAGTTTAAAAGCATGTATCCACTCCATTTCCTTTGATTTTTATACATGGGAGATAACGGACCAGTGCTAGTTAAATACAGCAATCCTTATCTTTAAAACGATGCATTGATTACCCCAATGGGACTGGGTCTTCTATTGAATGCTTCAAGAACTGCATTTGCTCAATAAATCAATTAAATGCTCACCAATAAGCCAGAAATGTTCTGGCAGTCATAATTCTATATCTCAAATTGGGATTTATGTGAAATGCGTAAGTACAATTTTAAAAACAACAATAAAATAATCATCAGGGTACCTGCCACCCAGCTGGAAAGTCAAACTATTACCCGAATCTTAGAAGCCCCATGTCCCAGTTGGCCCGGGCTTCCACAACAAAGTGCCACCGACTGGGTGGCTTAACCAACAGGAATGTATTTCCTCACAGTTCTGGAAGCCAGAAGGCCACGCCCAAGGTCTGGTCCTTGTGAGGCCTCTCCCTGAAGTGCCTCCCAGAGGGAGCTCGGGACTTGGGTCCCCAGGTGCCCTGTGCTCTCTGAGTCTCCCATAGCCACCGGGCCAGCGCATCCTACTTAACGAAAGGTGGAAACAGACGTTACAAAAGTGATGAACTGACCAGTGGTGTTTCCTCCTCTGCGTTATCTATGTTGGCTGCCCTCCTTCAATCTGTGTAATTGGGAGCTCACCCAAACTTGAATTTAAATTATTTCACCCATCACGGGTACAAAATATCTCCAGTCAATCAATGGAGCCTTCCATGGATGCTACATTGTTTTTTCTCTGATGGATGAAGTGATACACAGTATCATCGCCTTGCCGTTTCTATGCCCTTAAAGAGCAGCCAAGCTTCAATGACTTAGGGAAATCGGAACCTGACCGTGAAATTGAAATAAGGTGGCAGTGAGTCAGCATGAAGTTGAAACAAGGTGGCAGTGAGTCAGCAGAAGGGAATTTACATTTTTAAGAAAACGTGGGGTCAACAGCCAAGTCCGCTCCCATCACGACGCTGGGTTACCCTTTCAAAGACAACGTCAGTGCTGAGCCAAAGCCGTTCATCTCAGCGTCGAGCCTGGAAGCTCCCAGGGATCTAATTTTTCAAGCAGGACGACACTAAAATATTGCATTTTGGGGGACGCTAGACTAGCCAGATCCCTCTCCAGCACTAAATAAACGCTGTGGACTGCAGCCCTGGCGTTCACGGGGCACGAGGGAGTCATTTATGGCTGAGAATATTTAGAGGTGATCTTGATTACCCCTTTAATATCCGTGGGCTAGTTCTACGGCTGGGGAGGGACGCGCACCGTGGAATCGGGAAAGGGGGAAATTCACTTAACTGCAGGATGACACAGTGAGGAAGGAAGGGGCTGCAGAACCATAACGGGTGTCCCCGGCTTGGGCCTTTAAGTTGTCACACAAATGACAGTGACGTTATCCATGAGTTACTGATAATTTTTTTCTGATGGAAATTGGCATTGGCAGGCACGGATTTCCAGGCCACCCCTCCCTTCCCCCACCTCTGGTGCTCTCAGTTCCAGTCCTTCATCCCGTCGCTGCTGAGAGGGTCACGGGTGCTTGCAGGCGCAGAAACATTTCAGGTGTTCACTAGCTCACTATCGCTACGGCCAGAGCACCCTAAAGCCGAAGCTATCCCTCGGAATAGCGCCCGTCTCCCCGTCGCCCAGCATCTGTAGGCCATAGGGTTCCAGTGCCTTGTGCTGCGTCTAAGGACACGGGCCGATTCTGAGGCAGACACAGTGCCCTGTCCCCTCCTGGGGCTCTAGGGTGACACGTCACCTAACAGAAAACCCAGCCTTTCCCGAGCATCTTGCGTCAGGAAACCCTTAGGCGAGAGATCGTCACAGCCTGGCCGGCGGATCCTGCCACTTGGGCCGTGGGACAAACTGCCTGCCCGTCCTTTAGCTCTGCTGGGCCTCAGTTTTCTCACCAGGAAAATGGGGACAATAATACTTGTCCCGTCTATCCGTGTGGTTGGCAGAATAACAGGCCCCCAAAGAGATTCTGCCCTGAGTTTCAGGAACCTGTGACTATGTTAGCTTATTTGGAAAAAGGGACAGGGCCTGTGTGGCTAAGCGTAAAGCTGGGAAGATTATCCTGGAGCCCAAAGTCATCGCGCGGGTCCTTTGACTCTGCGCCTTTGCAGGGTGAAATATTTTGAATTTATTTGTGAAACGTGCAACCTTCCACTTCTTACGATGTCAGCACACAGCAGCCTGCAGCTGGAAGAATCTCACTGGGATTTCCAACCATTGAATGCTCCACATCACGCACAGCTGCTGCCCTCTCGCCCTGGCCAAGAGCCGGGGTCAAGGTCAAAGGGAAAGCGCCAAGGTGGCCGGGAAGTAAGGGAGGAGGCTTCCCCTTCCCTCCACCTGCCCAGCCCGCCGGGCGCGCGGGGCAGGGAGCAGTGCTGACGCCAGCGATGGGCTCTGCTGCGTCCCCGACCAAATTCCCCAATTCAGCACCTCCGGGCCCAGAGCTGCCCCCTCGGCCCTGGCAGCAGCCTCCGCCTCTGCCCGAATCACAACATAACACTCGGAGGGAAAAGCCTTTCTGCAGAGAGGGACGACCGCATGTCTCTGTGTAACTGATGGTGAAGGCGCACTTTCAGAGCTCAGTACGCCTCAGCGTTTCGCTACTAGCATAAGACTCTGGCTTCACTTCTTGGGGAAATTATTAGCAAAGACCCTCACATTTTTATTAGTAGGAAACCCCATAAAATTTTAACAGAAAAACAAAAATAACCTTGAAAACCCTGATGTTAAGAGTGCACATATAATTATTTTCACACGTGCACAGATCCAGTGTTGCTCACATACAAACGTTGCTAGAATATTCCATGAGCTTCCCCAACCATGTCCTGATGAAAAAGACCAACTTCTGAGAGGGCCCGAAGGTTTCTGTCCAC